TTGTTCCTTGCACTTTTCTTGTTAGTCTTGTTAGTCCGAAGACGAGTTGGGGGATCAAAGTCGAAAATTCACCCATTAAAGTTATTTTATCCCAAAGGAACATCTTCTAATTTAAATTTCTTGGGATGCACGTGTTCCAGTTCATACGAATGTTGACTTCATTATTTTCAGGTGTATAGGACGATTATGACTAATAAGCTAGAAATTGCCATTCCAGTCTCTTTTATCTCTACCGAAAATACTATCATTAAAGTGCGCATTTAGGAACATGGTTCGTTATTAATGACAAAACTAGTTAAGTAAGATAAAATAAAGACATAGTTGGGCGAATTAATGGGAATTAACCCCATAGCCAAGGCATTGGTAGCGTAATCGATTTGCATCCCATTCAAACCAATTAGCGTTTTCGTGCATGCAGCGATGTGCAAATGTAAAAGTGTTTCCTTGTGCTTGAGGTCGTTTTAATATTTGTCTAGGAGATGAAGGGCTTTAGTGATAACTGCAAAGATTGACGAACGTGAGATGACGTGGTCGGGCAAGCGTAGATGTAGATTTTATTTTTACTTCCCACTTTTGGAAGGTGACCTCAAATTTATCTTACTCCACAACTGGCATTTTTCTCGCTCATCTTGGAGATAATGGTGAAAATATTTGCGTGTTCATTTTTGGGATAGTTTAAAAATGTTCAAAACATTCCCTTTTTAGATTACTATGTAAACCAGGTGCACTAAATGTCTTTTCTTTGAGAAAAGCAGCTTCCTAGTTTCCCGGAATGTTTCTTTCGTCGAAGGAATAAAAAGAGCTTTCAAACTTAAATCTCAAATTTTTAAATTTCTACTATTCGAATTCTCGTAGAGATTTCGAAAGAAGAAAATTATGCGATTTTTACTTAAAGACTAAACTGATTTAAGCTAGCACCTTTGATTCGAGAGCCTTTGGCAAATTACTCAATACACACGATATAATTTGCCAGAATTTTAAGCTTTTTCTATGCTTATTTTACATTTTACTATAGATATGGGGATATAAGTCGCTGTAGTTGAAAACACGTGTTCTTTCAGTAAACAGATTATGAGAAACGGCTGCCACTGAGATTAAAATGGAACTCAAAATATGTTCAAGATCTCATGTAATGTGATTGAATGAACAGACTTACCTCCTCAACAGATATGTTAGTGGGTGTGAATGCAGCGTTAAAACGCA